CCTGCTTCCCACCAGCCAGTTTCCCCCATCTCTCTTTCACACACACACACACACACACACACACACACACACACCCCCTCCCGGCCAGCCCTGCTCCCCTCCCGGCCAGTTTCCCCCTTCTCCTCCCATCTGAGATAAAGTGTGTCCGGTATTTTGTTTTAAACCACCTGGTAACCCTAGGAATTGAGTGTGGTGGTTTTGGGTCTGCTCCAACAGGTTCCCTGTTCCTGGCATCAGACTCCATGAGGGCACACAGTCAGGGCAGCTGCTGTACAAAGGCCATGTGCCCTGGGTAAGTTGAGAGAAGCTGAGTACAGGAGCAGAGAGCAGGCAAGGTTGTCCCTCACTCCGAAGCATTTTGCAGCAGGTTAGTGATATTGTTAACTCTCCAACAGGGACAATGTGGCCACTGTTACAGAAAGAGAAACTGGGAAAAACAATTCGCTCCATTTTAACTATACTTTGAATGTTGTTTGATTTTAGCCAAATTGTTTAGTCAAATTGTCTCAACTAATTTGAGTCACCAACTTTTCTTTAAATGTGATAAGGGGGAAGGAGTCATTAATATTTTGCTATTCTCCATTTTGTATTTTCTCACAATTTTTTTTTGTTTTTACATCTATACACTTAGCGGAGTGGTGAGTTAATCAGTTAGCAGACTGGTTAACAATGATTTCAGAAGAGGAAGAGTCTGAATGGATTCCAGCTGAAGATTTAGAAGTTGCTTTTGAGTTAGCAGATTGTGTAGATTTGGTGATCAAAGAGTAAGATTAAGGCAAAAAACATGTTAGCATTTTCTTGCACTGAAATCCACTTCTTGCACTGAAACTGCTCAGTTTCAGCACAAAAATAAAACCATCACCACAACAGTATTTTTTGCTTTTTGCAGTGATGTGCCAGTGAAGACTTTTGATTGCTTACCCAGTCTAAGGATGTATCCACACTGTCTCCTTACCTTAAAATAAGCGACGTAATTTCGAAATAGCTTATTTCAAAATTTGGCGCTGTCTACGAGGTCTACAGGGACACCAGAATAGCGTGCCCATTATTTCAAAATATATTTTGAAATAACGGGTGCATTTAAAGCTGTGGAATAACTATTTCAGGATACGTCCGGTATCCCCAAATAACGCTGTTGTCCAGACGTAGCCTAAGTGCCCTCCAGAGCTGTCCCGCTATGCAGTATGGGAGGAGCTGCTCTTTGAAACTCAGCAGTCCTGCCTGAAGGTAGATACTCCTTCCCTTTAGTTCTGTTCTGACAGCTAGTACTGTCACTTCTCTGGAACACAAAACAAACCTTTACTGTATGCTCCTGCTGCCTCCCACAGTGCGAACAGAGGCAGATAGACAGACTTTTCTGTGCAGAGTCAAAGGGGGATGTGTGGGCTGAGGTCAGCTCCCTCCCACTGCTTCAGGACTGGTTGTGTATGGTATGGTGACTGTCACACACATATCCACCCTCGCCACAATCATGATTTGTTTTGTGTATTGGAGCACTGCATAAGGGGATAGCTACTATAGTGCACTCCTCTCATTGACAATGCAAATGCCGCATATGTAAATACACTCTGACGTCTGTGGAAAACAATGTGAACACAATCCAGCACTTTTCTTTTACAGCTTTTCTATCACTATCAAAACTGTCAGTAAAAAACGTCTGCAAGTGTAGACAAAGCCTAACTGAGACTGAGATCAACTCAGCCTGAGCTTTTGGGAACTGTGAGTTCTTCTCACTGTGTTTCTGTGGGGACTGACATGTTTAGATTTAATCTGTTTTATTTTTGTTTACGAATAACTGTGAAGATAATGTATGTGGATTATAAAAGAGCCATATTGAGGTGTAAAATTAAATTATTACAGTAGAAACTCAAAATAATGACCCGGGCAGTCAACCACACACCTCATTTGGAAACAGCAGTATGCAATCATGCAACAACAGAGTCAAAAGACACCCCTCCCCCCCCCAAAAAGCAAATATAGTGTTGTATTAAACATAAACTACTAAAAATAATAAAGGGAAAGTACCATTTTTCTTTT